TAAATGGCTGGTTTTCTCCTCTTAACACGCAATGTATGGGCCGAGATGGTAAACCCCTAAATCCTATTAACGATCCTTGGCATTATTATGATCTGTTGCAAGGCCATAGACTCTTCAAGCGGCATGGGGTCCAAAAACCTAGGTCTCGCCACAAAGTTGAAGGCAGCTGGGTACCTAAAGGACCCGGAGTCGAGAGTTTCAACAGGTAGGAACCCTCATAACTCAGAACATTTAGATTTTAGATGAGGCGCTCCTTGGTCTGAAGAATCCAAACCTGAAAGCCAACTTAGTTTCTAGAGCCCCCAAACCCTAGGCCCTAAACCCAGGACCCTTGAAGCCGCGGAGCATTAAACCCCGAAGCCCAACCCAAGCGCCCCGCAACATTCGACACTGAACCGATCGCTTCAGGTGCTTCGGGTTTAGTTAGGGCTTAGTGGAAACTCAAAAGCTAGGGCTTAGGGTTTAGGGGCAAACTCCACGAAGTCCAGGAAGAGGGGTGACGAGGATAGGTGCAGTCGCGGTTAATGCAGACATCTGATGGATAAGCTCCCTTTCCTGAAGGGCCTTAACATTGGGATCCCTACAAGGATACCGTTTTCGGTGGGGGGTGGTTCTTGGGTCCCTGAACCCTAAACCCTCAGAAAGTCTACATTTCGAGGCTTAACTGGGTTCCGTTTTTGTTCGGAGCAAAAGAAATCAGGGTTTAGAGTTTTGGGTAATGTAGGGGCCTTAATAATTACCTATATTATTCTGGGTGTTCCTTATTATGATTGTACATTGTAGTATAATATACCCCAAAACCTTATTGAAACTTAATTATTAAGGCGCCTATGTTATAGGTTCCCAGAAACTCTGACAGGCCCTCGGGAAAGTGTAGGAGTCGCGATAGTTAGTAGGAGTATTCTCCCCCAACGCTCCCTGCAACAACTGTCGCATACCATGCCCCAGAATACAGCCATAGCCTAATAGTTACCAGGAGTCTTTATGGCTGAATATACCTTAAAGTTCAAGGGTGAAGAGTTTCTGTTGCTTCAGATGACAGAGGCATCGTGCAACCTCGGATATTGCTTCCTCGGCTTCAGATCGCCTTTGATCGCCAGGTGCCTTGGATTCTGCTAGGGAGCCATCCGGGTTGACCCCAAACCCTAAACCCCATAAACCCCGAAACCCTAGACCCCTAAACCCGAAACCCTAAACTGTAGCCTAAACCATGAACCGGAAAACTCTGATCCGAAAACCCAAGCCCTGTGAGTGTCAGGTTCTAGGGCTTTTGTGCACGATTTCGGTTCGAAGCTCGAGGTAATATAGGGGCCAAAATAGTTAGAAAATGGCTTTGGGGTCGAAAATTTATACTTACAATAAGGATCCCCCAAATCAAAACCCTATTCTAATTATTCAGGCACCTACATTAGGGTTTTGGGGTTTAGGGTTTAGCTAGGGGCGCCCTAAGCCTATTGGAGACCGAGGTCTTGAGCTGAGTTTCCACAGGGTCGTGAGTAATGTAGGGTCCGAAATGATTTCCAATACTATTTTTTTGGGGGGGGTTCCTTATTACGGTTATAGTATAATCGACCCCGAAACCCTATTCTAATTATGAAGGCCCCTACATTACTTGACGAAACGAAGCTCCGCTGACAGCGCCTCTATAACTATGCCATGTGAGTCCCTTTGTAATGATGCTGATAGGCCATCATATCACACTAAACCCTAAACCCTATACCCTAAACCCTAAATCCTAAACCCTAAACCCTGAACCCTAAAGCCTAAACCTTCAACCCTACACCCTAAACCGTAAACCCTAAACCCTAAAGCTTAAATCCACCTCGACCTCAAGTCCCGGACCGTCCGTCTTCTTTCCATCAGGTTCTAGGAGTTATGGTTTAGATATTTGACTATATAAGCATAGCAAAGAACCCTGCAACTCTTGTGTGTGTGTGTGTGTTTTTTTTTCTTTTGTGTTGAACGGAACATCGAAAAGCTTCGATGCCTTACTCGTTCCGGGCTTCAAAGTGTCTTAGCAAGGGTTTAGGGTTTGGGGTTTAGGGCTTATAGGGGTGAGAATGATCGTTGCAGGAACGGAAAAGCGCACAGATAAAGCAATATGCCTAGTTTTCAAACGCATATATTAAACCCTAAACCCTAAACCCTAAACCCTAAACCCTAAACCCTAATGCATATATTAGTCTGCAGGGCCACATGTCAGTACCAGACCAGGCCCTTGCCCGATGCGCCAAGATGAGAAAGCTCACCCACACCTCCAGCAGCTACTACAGGGGCCTTTGGGTTTAGGGTTTAGGCTGTAATGTAGGGGCCTAAATAATTACCAATACTATTTTGGGGGGTTCCTTTTTTTATACTTATAGTATAATGGGCCCCACCACCCTATTCTAATTATCAAAGCTCCTATTTTCTTACAGACTGCTGGACCGTAGACCCTGCACCCTACAACCTGAATTCCAAAATTTGTTCCATACAGCCCTAAACCCCAATGAAACGATAAAGCCTGATAATTTTCTGGTGAGAGAAGGATCTAAGCAAAACGCCTAACGTCCTAAACCCACAAGCCTGAACTCTCTAGGTTGCGAGCAGACTATCCGAGGGGTCGAGCAAGCTAGACTCCATGCCGCAATGACCAGCAGTCCGTGCAGTAAGAAACCTCCGTGAACTGCAAGCCTGAGTTTGAGACTCAAAATTCTGGGGTGTTCAGAGCCTAGGTTTTGAGAAAGGTTAGGGTGAACCCTGACCTTGACCGTCTAGCCTCTGACAGATCCTAAATACCTACTAGCAGAGGTCATACACCGCCAGTGAACTCGAACTACAGGATGAGGGGACGTGGGAAGTGATATGGTTTGGGGCCCATTTTACTATAAGAAAAATAAGCAACCCCCAAACTAATATTGGTAACTATTCAGGCCCCTATATTGGGTTACAAGTAGAGCTATAAGTGAGATAAGCCAAGTTTGGGTACTCCTAACAACCGTTTTTGTGCCGCACTTGCTCAGCCGCCTTATCCTCTGACCGTATATTAAGGGAACCTTCTTCAGAAAGGTAAAGCTCACCCTAAACCCTAAATCCTGAAGCTCAGAGGCCCTGCCAAAGCAAGTTTCGCTGGGTTCTTGCACAGGAAGTTACTGTAAACTGAAACAATCAGATAACCGCATTATTTACAATACTAGATCCCTGTTATGGGTATCTTAAATTAAGTTCCTCAACAAGAACACCATTTGTGGCCAGGCAGTTCTTTGAGAAGTCCCTGAACTTTACTTTTCCATCCAGGCCGGGATTTGGGGCGTTGACGGGTTAAGGACTTGTTAGGGCGTTGGTCTGGTATTTAGGATGTAGGGGCTTATCGTCTAGGGTTTGGGATGTAGGGTCTGGGGTTTAGGATGTAGGGTTTAGGATTTTGGGTTTGGGGCTTATTTTCGGGTTTACAGTCTAGGATTCAGGACGTCGGGTCTGGCTTTACCAGCACCCCCCAACTACCCTCGATTCTACCCTACGTGCCCACTATTAAGGGCCATAGGGGCTCTTTTCAAAGGTGCTTGCCAGGGTGCTGGTAAGCTGATGGGTTTTAGGGTTCGTTGTAGGGTTCAAGACGATACCCTAAACCCTGCACCCTAAAAAAATGCTAAACCGCGATATCCATTAAAGAGCTCGGGTTGCAAGCGCAACGGGCCTCGGAGGAGAAAGTCTCGCTCATTACGATTTAAACCTTACGGCTTAGGGAAGCTAGGGCTGAAGTTTAGGGTTTAGGGTTTAGGGTTTAGGGTAACGAACCCCAAGCCCTATTTTGACTATGATGGCCAGATTTTTGTGGAAATCGTCTCCGCGACATTCAGAATACCTTGCTAGGGCGGATCACCCTGCCTTGAGGGTCCTGACAAGAAAGATTTGGAATCCCCTGGAACGCAAGATGTTGATCAACGTCCGAGGACAGAAGTAGCCATATCGACCGCACGCGCACGCCCTAAACTCTGAACTGTACAGAACCCGTCACCCTAAGCTAGAACCGATACAGTGAGCTGTGCCATCGCAGGTGACAGACTGAACCAAAGGACTTTTGGCAGTCACTCTCCTAATTATTCGCATGCATGGATGGATGTATGAGATGTCTAGCTAATAGTATTGCTGACAATGACAGTCATCATCATAGTAGTTATAGTTACGTTTATTTATAACCATAATCTTATTCTTTTCCGGGCCTTCCATCGAGCCTCAGCCTTGCCTGAGGCAGAGCACGAAGGTTGTCCGAGTTGCGCCGGCACGATTACAGTGTCAGCACCTTGGCCCGACCCCCAGCATTCTGCAGCCGATTGTGCCCAGTGATGCTGAACTGAACTGCATAAGCATTTACTGAAATTTATTTTTACACATGCGCACACACATTAACGATTTTTCATCGATTTGTCTCGCTAAAATCCACATTAGATATGTATACTGAAAAATACTGTGTACTGGAAACATACATCCATCCATCCGTACATGCATACATGAATACATGCATACATGCATACATGAATGCATACATGCATACATGCATACATGCATACATGCATACACGCATACACCCATACATACATACATACATACATACATACATACATACATACATACATACATATGTACGATGTATATATATATATATGCATACTGCACATATATACATATATACACACACACACACACAAACACATTTGTATAGCATAATCATGCGTATACGCATACCCATACAGACGCTGCATACGCATGCCATGTATGCAATGTTTCCAGCCGCCATATGCGATTGCTACATCCAGAATGTCACAATGATGTTAGCGTTTCTTTCGCCATGTTACACGAAGCTGTTCACATGGCTGCTGTAACAGTATGCATTCATTCTACTGGTGGGTGCCAGGCAAGGTGACATCATGAGCAACGTGCCAGGGTATTGCACGAGGTAGAAGCATGCCAAAAGCCATGGCTCGGGTTCGTGATGGGGCGCAAGGCACTTGACATCAAAGATGGGTTTCGCGATGCGTGCACGCCAGAGTGGGCCCCCCGTGGCCGTGGGTATTGACCTTGGCACCTCCTGCTGCCGAATCGGCCTCTGGCGGGATGGCGATGTCCTCATCGTGCCCAATGAGAGGGGCTGCCTCGCCACCCCAAACTGCGTCGGATTCTTAGATTGCACCGGCCCTGTGGTCGGGGATGCGGCCGCTGAGCAGGCGGCCGTGAACCTGAAGAACACCATCTTTGCACCTCAGAGGCTCTTGGGGGCGACCTATGACAGCCCTTGGGCTCAGAGGCTTCGTCTGCAGGGGCCCCCGGAAATTGTAAAGGGCGAGGACGGTAGCGCTCTCTACAGCATCCAAGATCGCGGGAAGCCGAAGCTGATGCGACCGGAAGAGGTGCTGGCCGTATTGCTCCACGAGATGAAGAGGCAGGTTGAGCAATGCCTTGGTGTCACCGTGAAATGTGCAGTTTGCACTGTGCCCTCGAAGTACGGCCAGAAGCAGCGCAAGGCTTTGACCGAGGCCCTGCACAAGGCACAGCTGGAGGTCCTGGCCTTAGTCAAGGCCCCCACCTCGGCGGCCATTGCATTTTCACTCACCAATCCCATCGAGGGGCCACGGAATGTCCTTGTTCTGGATTTTGGGGCTTGCTACTGTGACTTTTGCCTCTTGACTCTCCATGGCAAGTGCCTCTACGAACGTGCTGTTGGCAGCGAGTTTGTCGACCTGGACTCCCTGCTGGTGCGCTTCTGCTTGACGGACATCAAGCTTCGCCTGGGTATTGATATGTCAAGCGACTGGGCGGCACTTTTGCGGCTGAGCATGGCCTGCGAGAGTGCGAAAAGAAAGCTCTCTCAATGGAATCAGACCCGCGTGAACGTTGAGGCGTTGATCCAAGGCGGTGACTATTGTGTAGCCATGTCGCGGAGCTACTTCGAGGAGTTCTGTTCCCGGGACATTGACAGCCTTATGGAGATCTTTGATATTTGCTTGGTGGAATCAGGGCTGGAGCGGGACGCCGTGGACGTGGTCTTGGTGGGTGGCTCTTCGCGGATTCCGAGGTTCCGGCGTTTGGTGAAGGATTTCTTCCGGGGCCAACAGCCCAGTGAGCTCCTCCGTCCGGACCACGCGGCCGTGCTCGGAGCGGCCGTCTACGCCGCTGCATTGGCGCCCCCGGCACCAAGCAACTCGGGCAAGGAGGATTCTGAGGGAGAAAAGCGGCCAGGCCCTACCGAGCCGGAAGCCACACCTGCCACTCGGGCCGGCGTTGGCACAGGCATGGTGGGCACAGTGAGTGGAGGCGGAAGCGCAGGGATCTACAGCTTCGATGGTTTGCGCCTGGAGGAGATTCTTCCATGGTCCGTGTTGCTGGAGACCTCTGCCGCTCCCGCTCCCGAGGACCTGGAGGATTTGCTGGATGTTCCTTGCAATGAGGCTTTCGGACCCCGTCCGCCACGCGAGAGCTTCGTGAAGAAGCCTTCTCAATCGTACCCAGTGAGTCAGTGACGCTTTTCCAAGTTTTCGGTGTAGAGCAATCAGTGTCCTAGTATGGGCTTAGTATACCGGCTCAAGCTGAGCCAAGGACTACAGGAGCCTGACTGCTTCTCTTCTCTGGTTCCTGTAGTGGCAGTATACAATATCCGGAACAACTTCAAGTAACCCTAAACCCTAAACCTTCAAGCAAGCATTCCGACTTCTACGTAGATCATGGCAGGTCCTGTGCCAGACCTGCTTGGGTGGAGACGGGCATGCTTCACCTCACTTAAGACCCTATGCAGGATTTAGGATTTAGGGTTTAGGGTTTGTCAATACAAGTGAGCATGTTCATG